GGAGCCGGTGAGTGCCCGCGGCGCCCGGCGCGGCGCCCGTGGCCCTGCGAGCCCCGCGAGCCGCTCCAGCCCCGAACTCGGACGAGGGAGCTTGGGGTCGGCTCCCCAAGGTGGGAGCGCTCGGGGCGGCTCCAGTTCAATGTCCCGCAGCTTCTGCTCGCTTGGCCTTGGCTCGGGGCCACCCCTGGAAAGGGCGGGATCTGGCCAGGACAACCACATCGGATCGTCCAACATAAACAGCTGGGCAGGTGGGAATGGACATGGAGAACCCGGGCTTGAGAGACAGGATTCCAGGGATCCAGGGGTGTTGGGACTCTTGTTCCCAGCTCTTCCCTGCCTTTCCACGTGCATTCCTGCAGTGCCGGCTGCCGGGCGCCTTCCCCAGCTCAGAGCAGGGTCCCCGGCGGCGCACGGCGCCTGTGGGAGGCCGCTGCGCTGCGGGTTGGTGGCTGTCCCGACGCTGCAGGACCCGAGCAAAGAGGGGTTGTTTGGTTGTCTTTAGTCAGCCGGGAGCTTTCAGAAGGGCAGCAGCTCCTGGCAAGTGAAGGTGCAAAGTCCGAGCRCGGGGTCGGCTGTATCCCATCTCCAGGGGGAGAGCAGGAGCCCTGGGGTGGGGTGTCCAGGGCGGCTATAACCYGTGTGGTTACAGCCCATCCCTGTCCCCATCCTGCCCGCGCCTCCCTGGCAGTTTCCTGACGTGCTGCTTCCCAGGAGGATGCAAAACCCCGTGGCCTGGAGGCCAGTCCCAGCTGGGACACCCAGGCGCTCCTGGCAGTGTCACCCCGTGCTGCTGTCGCGCACACACGGGACTCTCTCCTTTAGGTCTGAGCCCGATAGAATCCGTAAAACCAATAAGGCCAAGGTGCCTCRGTCAGGTTCAACGTGCCCGAGGTTGGAAACTGCTGGGCTGTGTGTGTCGGGGGTGTGAACCCCGCGCGGGCGCTTTGCGGCCGTGTTAGTGATGATCCCCACGGGAAGGGAGGGTCGGGACGCCCAGGCTGGCTGGTGCTGGCGGGAGCGCTCGGAGCCCTCGAGGAGCCGCCCGTGCCCCAGAGCGGGGTCTCGGCTGCCCCAGAACCAGGCCTAGGTTCTTAGAAAATGAAAATACCGCTTGGAGGTAAATTGTGCTGGTTCCTGGTCCAGAGACGTCTCCAGGCACAGCCGCCCTGGAACAGGACTTGGAGTAAGGGCAGTTGAGGCTCCTGCCCCAGGGCCCGGGGCTGGGGACAGGACCCGCCGGGTCCCCCGACCGCGGGGACGCGCTGAGGAAGGACCCGGGGCTGGAGGCCCTGGGGAAGAGCAGCCCCCGGGGATGCAGGGGCTGGGCGGGTGCCACGGAGCGGCCGGCAGTGGGAGCAACGTCCTGGGCGCTGGAAGCGCCGTGATGCCGGCATTCGGCCGGGCCCTGCGGCAGGCGGGAGGCCGYGGTGCTCGGGCAGGGGGGCGCTGGGTGGCAGCCCAGCTGGGAGCTGCTGGAGGCCCTTGCRGTTGTCGCTGTGCGCGGCCCGGCGCGCGGGGCTGTCTGCGCCACTTTGACGCTGCTTCCTCCCTCCCCTCTGCGCAGGAGATGCGGAGCAGGAGCCCGGCCCCAGGCAGGACGGCCAGGAAGGGAGCCTGGCTCGGGATCGCCTGGAGAGCACCCTGGCCGAGGAGGCGCCGCGCGCGGAGCAGGCGGCAGGTTGGTCTCGCTGGGGCGGCCGGCACCAGCAGAGACCCCGTGGGGGGAGCCCAGGCCCCGGCGCCGCAGGACCCGGCTGGGACGGACCGGCCTCCGTCCACCTGCAGAGCCCTCAGCCGCTCCAGCCCTGCTTGCACATCCCGAGCACTGGAGAGCTGCGGCTTTCCCTGGACCCAGCTCTCGAGCTGATCCTGGCGCGGGGTAACCTCGCACATGGTGCTGTCTCTGTGCTGCTCTGCACTGTTGCGAGGTCTGATCCTGCTGACTTCCAGGGGTGGGATTGAGGGCTGGGCTGGGACACGGACTGGGAAAACATCTCTCAACATCCCGGCCCAAGGGGGAAGCTGCTGGCAGGGGGGCTCCGTGCACCTCCCTCCATGGCCCGCGCTGCTCTGGCCCAGAGTGCTGTCGCAGAGGCCTCCAGCTCTGCTTCGGTGCCAGGGCTGGAATTCCTCCCGAGGCGCTCATGCCCTCCCTCCAGGAGCATATATGGGCACGGAGCGAGCGCATCGCTCCCGCTGGCCGTGCGCACGGGAAGGCGGGCCGGGCGCGTGAGCGGCGCTGGGCAGCGAGCCCGACGTGTCCCGGGTGCTGCCGTGTCCCCGGTGCCGTGTCCTGGGCGCTGATGGCGGTCAGCACTGTGTGTATCTGTGGGCTCGGAGCAGCTGAGTGCCATGGATCCAAACCGGTCCGGCTCATGCACTGGGATTTGCCCCAGCCGCCCTGGGAGCCCTTTCTCTGTGGGGAGCTGTGTGCTCCGGGAGCCCACCCCGACAGGGCTCCGCGGCGCCTGGCTGCCGCCCGCGGCCTCGCTCTGCCGCGGCAGGACGGGGCAGCCGGGCCGGGCCTCAGGGCCACCACCCCGACGCTGCTCGCGGAGCCGATTCCTTCGCCCTTGGGCCTCCCCACTGTCCTTTCCGTGGTGAAAGCAGCGCCTGGCCGGTCCTGTGGCGTGGACGGAGCCGCCCCTGGACCGGGGCTGTCCAGCGCGGGGATTCAGCCCTGGGGTCCTTGCGTGCGCCGGTGCTGCCGTCGTGGCCACTCGCCGGGTGCTCTCGCCGGGGCCTCAGGAGCCGCTGCCGCCGCTCAGCTGGGCGCTTCCCTGCAGGAGGCGGCCACGCTGCAGCCGCCCAAGCGCCCGAGGGCGGCCGGGTGCCCAGCGACTCAGAGGGCGACGTTTACTGCGACACCCTGGAGCACATGGAGCCCGAGCAGGTAACGTGTCCGGGCAGGAGGGCTCGAGGCGCTGGGCTCTGCGGGGCTCCGCGCGCTCCTGTTTGCACCAGCCCAGGACCCTGCCTGAGCGCGGAGGCCCCCGAGCACAGCAGGGACATGCAAGGCTGCCCGCTGCCCTGTTACACCCTGCAGGGTCCCTCCTTGTGTCCCTGTGGCCTCGCAGCCTGGTCCCGCCCCCGAACACAGGCTGAGAGCCCCGGCACCCTGCCACTTGCCCCCCRCTCCCTCGCCCTGTTCCCAGTGTCATCCCGGCTCCCACCGGCCAAGCTGTGCCCCTGCGGCAGCAGARCGTGGGGCTGGGGAGGACAGTGCCCGGACGCCTGGGCCCTGCTGCAGCCTGAGCCCACGCGAGTCGCTTCCCCGGGCTTGGCCACTGGCGGCCCAACGTGCCAGCCCTGGCAGCGGCCCCGCGGGGCCAGCGGCCACTCGCAGCAGGGCTCTCAGCGCCGCTCCTCTCTGCCCCGCACAGGCCGGACAGGGGCTCTCCCCGCGGGGCACCCGCGCTGGGCACCAGGGCGACGGCGGAAGCGGAGCGGGGAGCAGCGGCCCTGGCCCCGAGCGAGGTGGGTGCCGCGCTGGGGATGGCGGGAGGGCAGCTCCATGGGCGGCAGCCCCACGGACACATCCCGGGGCTCTGCTCCGGCGGGAGCAGCCGCTGCGGAGGCGCAGGCACCACCTCACCTGAGTGGCCCGGCCGCCGTGGCGCTTATCTCCCCGTTAATGTTTCTGCGGGGCCTCCCGCGCTGCTTGACCTTGGGAGTTAACTTGTAACAAGGCCCGGAAAGGCGCCGGTGACCCCGGCCCCCGGCAGCGCCGCAAAGGGCCGAGCTGCTCCGCGGAGCAGCCGCCTCGTGGCGAGTGCCTGCCCGGCAGCGGCGACGGCTCTCGGCGGGTCGCAGCCTCAAACGGGGCGGCTGCGGGGCCTCTGGTGAGCGCGGCAGGGCTGCAGGCCGGGGCTGTGTACATGTGTGTGGGGAGGCTGCCCRCGCCCGTCACCCCGTCCTCGTGAGCGCTGCTCCCAGCCAGGCAGCGTCGCGCCAACCCGCYGGGTCATGGAGCTGCTGGAAGCGCCGGGGCCGCCCGGGCCCCCTGCGGCTCCGTGGGGCCGTGCTGGCCCRGCCGCCACTGCCACGTGCGGTGCTCCCGTGGGTGCCACATTACCACCCACCTGAGCAGAGCCCCTGCCCCAGGAGCGCAGCCTGCCGCGGGACAGCAGGACAGCCCCAGGGACGCCGAAGGGGACACCAAAGGGGCCGAAGGGCACCTGGAGCTGGCGCAGGAGGTGGCAGCAGAGCTGGGCGCGCAGGTGGCCGGCACTGTGCGAGCGCTGCAGGACGACATGCAGTGCGTGCGGGAGCGGCTCGGCCGCCTGGAGACGCTGGCGGCCACGCAGGTACCTGCCGGGCTGCAGCCCCGGGGCGGCCCTGCTGAGCGGCGCYGGGCTCAACCCGCTGGGCTGCAGCCCTGGGTCGGCGCTGGGGACACGGGGCGGCCCCGGCCGCAGCCTCTGCTGCCTTGCAGGGGGACGAGCGCGAGGCCCTGCCCCGGCTGCCGCTGGCTGCGCAGGTGAGTTGGGGGGGACCTGGCGCCGCGGCGCCTTGGGCGGCCCGCCACAAGCGGAGGGATGTGGCCGGGGCCCGCGGGCTCCGGACGGTGCCCGTGGAGTGAGGGCTGCCCCGGACGCCTCCGCGCGGCCAGCCCATGTCCCGGCCCTCCGCAGCTGCCGTGGCCGCTGCCCGTGTCCCCGCGCACGCTGCTCTTCCTCCTCGCCTGGCCCTTCGTCACCCAGTGGCTGCTGCGGCGCCTGCAGGCCAGGAAGAGGTGACGGGCCCCGGCGCGTGGGCCCGCGCGGCGCCCACGAGCCCTCGTGCTTCTCAGCAGCCTCCTCCGCACGGCGGGGCCCGCGGGCCGGCGGCTGCGCCGGTGCCTGTGGCCGGCGCGAGGCTGGGGCCGCCCCAGGGCCCGCGGCACCGCGGGGGCACCAAAGCTTCGCACCCCGGGAAGAAGCAGCGGCCGCTGGCAGCGGCGGCGACAGCGGGAGGGGGGCGGGCCGGGGCCGGGGCCGGGGCCGTCACCGCCCGGGGCCGGGGGGCCCCGCGGGCCGGGCGCGCGGCCCGGCCGCCCTTCGCCGCCTCATTAAAGTTGCCTTCCCAGCGCAGCCTCCGTGTGCGGGGGACGCGGCCGCCGTGGGGCAGCCCCGGCCCCGCGCGCGAGGTGGGGAGGGGGCGGGGGGGGCGCGACTCCCCGGGGTGCCCGCGGTCACCCGTGGGGTCCCCCGGGCTGCGCCACGTTGGAGATGCCCCGCAGGGAGCCGGGCCGCAGCTCCCGGCGCTGCCCGAGCCGGGGCCCCCGCCGGGGCCCCCTGCCGCGTTTCGGGGACCCCCGCCCGTGCGTTCAGCCCCGCCCCCCGCGACTTTGTGCCARGGCGATGCGGCCCCTTTAAGGACGGCCTCGTTTCCGCTCGCGTTTGTTTACATCTCCCTCCGCGGAGTTGCTGGGCGCCCACGCGCGGTGCCCGGATCCTTCCGCCCGCGCCCCCCCCTCCGCTGTGCCCGACCGGGACTGGGCCCGACCCGAACGCGAGCGGACCGCTTGTGTTCGGGACGGGCCGAATCCCGGCTCCGGGACGGCGGAGCCCTCCGCATCGCGCCCCACATCGCGCCCCATTCACGGTGCCGCCCGGGGACTACTTTAGGACCGAACCACTTCCCCGCAGGCGCGGGGGGCGCCAGGCGCTGCCCTTAGCGGCGCCGTGAAGGTCGCCGGGCGCGCGCGGCCCCGCGGCGCGGAGGAGCCCCTCGAGCGAATGGTATGGCCCGTCACGCGCCTATTGGTTGAGGTGCGCGGGAGTGACGTTCGTCGGGGCCAATGGGGGCACGGCTGCCGAGGCAGCCGGYGGGCGGAGCCCGGCCGTGGGACCCGCCCACTACGCGCGCGGATTGGCCGTCGCGCGGCGTCTGTTGCGGTTCTGGGAGCCGTAGTCGTCGCGCCAGCCGGGAGCCAGCGGATCGATTGGGGCAGCGGACTACGACTCCCGGCATGCCGCGCGGGGTGGGGCGGGCAGCGCGCGTGCGCGACGCGGGGCGGGGCCAGGCGACGCTATATAAGGCGGGGGAGCGCGCTG